ACACAAAAAATGATGATTTTCATGGAGGCGTTGGGCCATTCCATGCAAGAAAACAGATTTCTTGGGGCCCGACTCACCTGCAAAAGGGTGAAATGCCCAAGGGTTCTTTCCATTTGAAACGCGATTCTGGAAACCAACCATGCTCACGTGGAAAATCACGTAGTAATTTGAGAACATCCAAGTGCAATGATTGGGGTGTACTATTTGCAAGTGGATGAAAGTCCAAATCACCCGCAAAAAAAACACAACTATGGACGTACTTAACCCCCTATGTATGTTTGGTTGCGGGTTCCATCATTGTAGGAAAAACAAGTGGAGGCTTGTTATGTGTTGAACCCCATCAAAAAAGGATCACTGGCTGAAACGAGGAAATCAAGGAGAAAAGTTGTCTCTCATGAAGTTGGTGCACCCGGAAACGTTCCTGCACAGATCCAAGTTGTGGCACGTTTTTGCCTATTAGATCCTCATTTTGGCTGCTTAGATCCTCGTTTGTTTGTCCCCAAGTGTTTCTCGTTTTTTGTCACTGTGTTTCTAGATTTGCTAAATACTCGTACATCTACCAAGTTCTACGTTTTTGCACATGTTTCTGTGTAGTTGTTTCGGTTATATAAATCCCTATATTAATCACATGTTTTCCCGAATATGTTCTATATTTTGTTGGATAGATTCCCCCAAGTTTTGGCCCATTTGGCAGCCCATATCTTCATAGAAGCGTCAAACCCTGCAATTAATTCATCGGTCCTTGGTTCAGCTATCCCATAGGATCCATGGTGCTGCTATATATGGTAACATGGATCCCATCAATATACCCCATTTATGTTAGCATATATACATATATATATATATACCACTATGGGTATATTTACCATCAATATATGGTAACATGGATCCCATCAATTTACCATACATTTACCAGCACCATGGATCCTATGGCTATGAAACAATTGCCACCGGTGGATCCGGCCTGGCTGGGCTCAGGCGGCGCGGCAGTTCCTGGGTATCATCCTCTCGGTGCAGCCGCGCATCGCTTCGGGCGCAGCCATTCGACCGGAGGATTTGGTGGCTCAGATGGCGGAGGTCGGTGGGGCCAAAAAAGGGGCCAAAAAAGGGGCCAAAAAAGGGGCAGCTTGGAGGCTTCGGAAATCTTCAGAATTTATCAGAATTTGTGACTTTATAGGATATTTTATGCGGTTTTACTGTGGAATGATTCAAGTTTTGTATAGTTTTGTGCTTTTCTGTTGATCGATTAGTGGATGTATGATGGGCGTATCGCGGTTGAAATGGTGGACTTGTGGGTGATAGGGTTGAGAAGCAATTTGGTTGGTTGTCTTCTGTAAACCATAAACCTTGAGAACTCAGAAAACTTCAGGATTTCTAGCTGGGGATGGAAGCAAAACCCCAAGATGGGAGTAACTTGGTGGATAGAAAACTTGGGGTCTAAAACTCAGATCTTGGAGGCCAAATCTGCCAGTGGAAGACTTGGTGAGTCGACTGGTGAAACAACAGAATTGCTGTGCCATAAATATCCTCTGGTAAACTAACATAACTATTGAAAATCATCATTTTTAATGGGAAAATCCACTATAAATGGTCATTTTCAATAGCTATGTTAAATTACCAGAGGGTATCCGATCATAAATGGGGACCTTTTTATGGGAACGCGCAATGAGCTTTGCAGGACGTATAGCTATTTTTCTGGACATCCCCGCCTGGCAGTGTACAACTGTGGGGGGTGCCTTCGGAAAGCTTTTTGGACATCACACCTTTTTGGAAAACCTACGGAGGATTTTGAGCATGATTCAGCCACGTAAAAAAAAGGCCTTATAAAGACATAAATATATACTCTCTGGTTATTTAACATAGCTATGGAAAATGGCCCAGCAATCCGCCGAAATTTATGACACCCTCCATGTGGTCCCCAAATTCAAAAGGGGCCACTAGAGCAGTGAACCAGGGGTTTGGGGAAAGATGATGTTGCTCCAAGCTGCCAGCTGGATCTCAACTGCCATCCCGACATTCGAATGCAAGGGGGACCAACTGGATCCTGGGAATACGTGGATCGTCCCACTTAGCAAGTGGTTAGTAACCCTGGTTATAGTAACTCCCCACTCAGTGGGTTGCATATTCTAAATGGGTCGTAACTATGGTTACGTACAATTGAGTTACGAGTCGTGGGATGATCCCTCGGTTGTAGATATTTGATGTCATAGTAGTCATAGTCATACTTACTGTAGCTCTTCCCATTACAATCCCATATTTAATTAGTCAGTTTATCCCAAGTTTATCTAATAAAGTACCCATGACATTCCCAAGTAGATACCTCAACCCGTCCTGACCGCGGCGGAGCGCCAGGCCTTTTTGGGCCGTGTGCCCAAGGTCATGAACCGAAAAGAGGCAGACCCGGAGACGTGCCCCGTGGAGAACATAGCTCCATGATGCTCCATGAATGGGATCATGTGGGCATGCCAGCACCACATCCAGCAATTGGGAAGCTTTGGAAGACTCGGCTGGGGTACTGGCCGAAATCATCAGGGTGTCATGGTGCAATGTTGCCATGTGACTTGGGGCATGGTTAGGTGGGTTAGGTGACTTGGTAACCAGGAGCCCCTGAAAGCCTGAAAGCTCACCATGGCGAATTGCGGATATTTTCGGAAAAGTTTAGTTGGATCAGTTGATTTGGCTGCAATGTGCCATGTATTTGGTATGCTATACATGTTCTATCATATTCCAGATATGTCCTTTTGATGCAGGTTTTCAGCAATGCGCGTGGTATTGCCTGGCTATGGCTCCAGTTTCATGATAGATCAATGTTTGATCAATGACCGCCATGACGGCCATGACGCTTCGCTACCTTCACACCTTCATCGACGAGGAGCCGCTGGAACCAGTGGAGGGCCTACGGCGGTCTCGAAGTTTTCCCCTGCTGGGATGCCCAACGTGGAGCGAAGAGGAGGCGATGGTGGATGGCTAGGGGTGTTCCGTCCTGATTTGTGTAGGCCCCCCCCTCAACAATAGCTATACCCTCTTTAGAGTTGGGCGCAATAAAGCGGTTCCCCAGGAAACAAAAACTCTGCACTTAAGTTTGGCTATAATTGAAATCTATAATTAATTGAAACTTAAAACATATTAAAACTGTTTTTGGCCGATGAACATGTGATAATTTGTAGTACTTGTAGTACTTGTAGTACTTGTAGTACTTGTAGTACTTGTAGTACTTGTAGTGAGTGGGGTTCAGCATGTCGATTACGTTAAACATGTAATAAGGGAAAGAAAAAGTGAAAGAAACAGAGAAAGGGAACGAGAGAAAGAGAAAGAGAGAGAGAGAGAGAGATAGAGGGAGAAAGAAAGAGAGAGAGAGAGAGAGGAAGAGGAAGAGGAATAGGAAGAGGAAGAGGACGAGGACGAGGAAGAGGAAGAGGAAGAGGATGAGGAAGAGGAAGAGGAAGAGGAACAGAGAGAGGAAGAAGCAGAGGAAGAGGAAGAGAAAGAGGAAGAGGAAGAGAGAGAGAGAGAGGAAGAGGAAGAGGAAGAGAAAGAGAAAGAGAAAGAACAGGTTGCTTCTGTAAAAGGCATGTCTTTCTTCTCTTGGCTCCAGGATCAGTTCTGGAAAAGAGTTTGCTGCAAATGTGAACCCTGAGAACAAACCAAAGTGAACTGGATTCTCTCATGGCCCAGTGCCTTGCAAATTTGTGGAAAAACTGTTCTTTAACAAGGTTTTAATAAGCGATCTGATTCATTTTGGAAATGCTTGCGCTTTGAACTTGGCAATTGCTTTTGGAAAAGGCCTACCTTTCTTCTCTTGGCTCCAGGATCAGCTCTGGAACACTGTGCTGCTTTTGTGAACCCTGAGAACAGACCTACTAGAGTGAATTGGACCCTCTCATGGCGCATTGCCTCAGAAATTTGTGGAACAAAATCTTCCTTAATCAGGGTTCAACAAGCGATCTGATTCTTTGGGGAAACGCAGACAAACACGATTTTTCCCAGAAGAAATGTCATTTGTTTTTTTCATTTTTTTTTCAAAACAAATTGGTCTCCCAAGATTTCTTGCCACAATAGCGAACCTACCAAACATTGCATGGGTTCAGATTTTTTATTTTTTTTTGCACAATAGCGAACCTAGCTACTAATGAGGATACAACATTATATGGACCATGACCACTGGCCATGTGTGTTTGCCCGTGAGCCATGGAAACGAGAGTGCGTTGATATGCGTAAGCCATGGAATTGATGAAACTGTATCATTACTGTGATATATTTAGATCTTTAGATTCCCTCAGCAACCAGCTGAAGCGTCCTTTGCTTATGCCATGTTCTTGGCAGGAACCGCAGGATGCCACCGCGCGCGATGCGAACTATGTGGCCCAGTTGCAGCACAAGACGTTGAACACCTTTCCAGCCCGACCCATGGCACCGCCCATAAACCCGATGACACTTGAGCGTGCGGTTTGTGCGGCGCCACCCGACCCGGTGAATGATGGGAGCCGTGGCCATCCGCAGTTGTGCGCTCGTCCATGCATCCGAATTGCCAAAGAAGGAGGATGCAACTTGGGAGATGCCTGTGGATACTGCCATCTGGGCCATCTGTCACATGGGAGCCGCGTAGCATTCGACAAGCGCCAACGAACTTTGTTACACGAGATGGAGACTGTTATCTGCAAAAAGAACGATTTTAAATTTATATGATTTTATTGTGTGCGTTTTTCTTCCAATTTGTCAGGGGTGGGTCAATGGTTGAGTAGTTAGTTTCCGAGAACTATCAATGCAGCTTTCATAGTCTGTCATCATGGCAGAAGTTTATTCGATTTTTGGAGATTAATAATATAATCATATATAATACTAATATATTACAATATGAAACTACCGGGGTTGAAACCACTATCCAGCAATAAGTCATGCTGATGTTTAGCATATGCGTCATGTTCCCCGTTCTTCACCGGGGGATGATGAATCCAGGGATGAATCCAGGGGCTTAAGCCTGCACCAGGGGTTCGGCAATTTTTAGGCAGTGGTGTTTAAGCAGTACCCGGCCTGGTAATTTAACATAGCTATTGAAAATGGCCATAGAAATAGTGGATTTTCCTATGAAACATGGTGATTTTCCATAGTTATGTGACAGTTTACCAGAGGGTATCCCAAAACGATCCAAAACACCGAATTGATATTCATGTATTTCATCCCATGACGGATCCATGGTGCTGGTATATATGCTAACAAAAAGGGGGTATATTGATGGGATCCATGTTACTGGCATGTATTTCATGTGGTTGTCACGTTTCACTGACACTTGCACTTCCCAAGGAACCCAAGGGTCTCCGTGTGTGAATGGCATTTGGCAAAATGTATTTGCTTTCGATAGATGGAGTCAAAATTCATAAACACCAGGTGCTGCGTTTGGTTTGGAAAAAGGTTTGTTGATGAAACACCAGGTTTTTCATGTTGACACAAGATTGACTATACATGCATTTTCTCCGGGTTTTCTCGCGTGTTTCTCACACAATCTCCGGGAATTCTTGCTCTTTCTCCGGGTGTTTTCGCACCTACTTGTAGTCCGGCTGTGAATTTCTCTGGCTTTATTTTTGGATTTCTCTGGGTGTAGTGGCTCCGATTGCCATGCATAAATATATAATTATATATATATATGTATATAATATATCACCCAAGCAGAAAAATCGTCTTGGAGACATCGTGTGTCCTCACATGTGTTTGTTTTTTTACCCTAGCAACTGCCCCTGCAACGTTTAGAACCTGTGTGGCCAAAGTGGCAAGTATGCCCCTATCATGCCAAACAAAAACGAGTGCTGGAAACATCAATCAATCCCCACAAGAAAACCAGACTGTGCCAAATAGAAATGGCTAGTTGCAAGCAGCAAGGGAAGATAAGGGAAGACAAATTCCTAAGCAGACGTACCAGAAACGCATTATCATGTCCGAACAGATTTCTCACACCAAATTCCACCGGCGGAGGAGTTCCAACACCGGTTAAAAAAAAACGCGAACACTGAAAAAATGTCAGATTCCGTCAGTTTTCCGGGTTTTCAGGCTTCGCTAGGGTTTATGATCATTGAGTATACCCCTGCGTGGGATGATTTGAAATGACCCCAAAAAAAAGTGCGCAATATGGGATGGTTGATGGCATTGGGTTTCCCACATTACAGAAATTGGACACATCGTATTGAGTATAACTCACCCTGACAAGCTCCTTGATTGATAGAGGCACCATTGCGGCACCATTGGGGAAAAAAACACCTTTTGGGGACCCCAGAATGAAGAAGCCAGACCCAACCAGGGTTTATGTATCCTAGCATTGACATTGTACTTGTATGTGCTTGTATCATATTATCATTTTGTATCATCTTGTCTTCAAAGATTTCAAAGCCATCATACGCAGTCCATTTGCTATTGATTGTTTATTATACTTACCTTCATTTTGGGGCTGTTTCAAGATGGTATTACTGTATTTTGCATATAATTGTACGTACTATACCATGAATTACTTCAAGTTATACATAGCATTGGAGCAGGGTTCTGTCATTTACAGGTACCGACCTTTCTTCACATTAAAGCGGGCAAACCGTTCTGCAAATTGAAGATAAATTATCATACATACACATTTGCAAGTTCACCTACATCCACAAGTTCATCATTTTCCTTGTACAAAAAATGCAATTTGTCTGAAATTGGGGTATACGCTCCCCCATTTATAGAATAGTACAGGATGGGGCCCTCAAGATAGCGTTCAGTTGCCTTTTAAGTGGCTTAACTATGGTTTATGGTAGATATAACTATAGTTAATGGGGGTTATAATGGTTTATAAACCAACTTATAATTGGGGGGGGCCATCCTGTAGGACAGATTATATTTCATTGGGATTCGTTTTCACCCTATAGATGTTCAGACCAAGCAATTTTGCGGATATCGCCCGCAAGGTGGGGGCCCCCTAGCCCCTTAGATAGCTAAGTTGGTTCATAACTTCAGTAATAAATACTTTAGGGTTTCTCGTAACTATATGAGTAACCGGCAAATTGATTGTTTAGTATTTCTTCGCCTTAGCCTTGCTGAGAGATGCCCAAAACCTTCATCACCGGTACTGGAGGGGACGACCCTATACTGATACCCCTGTTTTGCATGAGTCGCCTCAAAGTCTGTGAACACAGAAACTATCACTACCGATAGGGGACGACCCTAATTTGCGCCTGGCAGGAAAATGAACAAGTAATTTCGTCCGCCATTCATGTGTAATTATAACATAATATAACATATTCGCTGCAAACCCTACGTTTGACCTTGCCGGAAGTTAATAAACCATTCAACATATTTGTTCAGAGGGAGTTGGGGATTTGATCCCTCATGAAGATAAGTGGAAGTTAATAAGCCATTCAATGTATTTGTTCAGAGGGGAACATCCCTTTGATGCCTTAT